TCTTGAACACATGATATATTTCACAGTTTTTAAGAGACTGAGAGGCAAGGAAATGCAGAGAGCAAGTACAGACAAGATTTTCAAGTTATAAAAAAGATATGGGAGAAGGACTGGCTGAGGAAAAATCCTTGAGAAACTTAGCTATCAAGGAATGTTTTTCTTAACGGCAGATATTATGTGTTCATGCTCATGAGAACAAGTTAGTGAAAAGGTAGGAAATGCTGGAGCAGAAGATGGGATATTTATGGATACAGAATTTCAGAAAACCGAGGGGATGGGATCCAGCCTTGCCTGTGGCTGTGTCTCCCAGGATGGCACAGTAGTCACAGAGGTTCTGCTGCAGGAGAAGTTGCTGGAACTTCCCGGAAATCCACCATCTTAGGTGCAAGAGAAAGCTGTTCATACAAGGAACACTTCAACACAAAGCCTCCCAAGCGGGGTGCCACGAAGCTGCTGGTGGCTGTGTGTTGCTGACCATCATGCATTGCAGAGGCTGCATGTTAGGGAAGTTTCTCGTGCTTTGGGAGCTAGTGCTGGGAAAGTCAGGTGCCAGCTGCAGGAGCCTGGCATGGAGCACACCAAAACTAGGAAGCAAAAGTCATTTTATTCCTGCAAACACTCTCTAGTCCCCTCTACTGGCAAAGCTCAGTGCCTGCTGGCAAAGGGAAAATATTCCAAGGTCTCAGGTACACTTTTGGAGCAGAGAAGCAATCAGTCAGTCCATAGCCAGCACAGTGGAAAATGGAGGGATCAGGCTGACAATACCTTCCATCAAACTTACCGTCACTGGGGCGCCTGGGTGGCTTAGTCGGTTAAGCGTCCGACTTTCGCTTAGGTCATGATCTCGCGGTTTGTGGGTTCGAGCCCCGCGTCGGGCTCTGTGCTGACTGCCAGCTCAGAGCCTGGAGCCTATTTCAGAGTCTGTATCTCCCTCTCTCTCTGACCCTCCCCTGCTCATGCTGTCTCTCTCTCTCTCTCTCTCCCCTAGAAATAAATAAAAATATTTTAAAAAAAAAACAAAACTTACCGTCACTAGGTCATGTACTTCTGCATGTGGTGAAGAGGTAGACACACAGCTCCACTATGAAATATTCTTGCCTCAGGACGCCTGGGTGGCTCAGTCGGTTAAACTTCCAACTTCGGCTCAGGTCATGATCTCATGGTTTGTGGGTTCAAGCCCCATGTCAGGCTCTGTGCTGACAGCTCAGAGCCTGGAGCCTGTTTCAGATTCTGTATCTCCCTCTCTCTCTGACCCTCCCCTGCTCATGCTGTCTGTCTGTCTGTCTCTCTCTCTCTCTCTCTCTCAGAAACAAACAAAACATTAAAAAAATTTTTTTAAAAGAAATATTCTTGCCTCAAAAAAAATGGAACCAAAATCTGATAGACTCTCCAGATTTAACTACCAGTTAGTTATAAGAAATATAGGGGACAATGGGGCGCCCAGGTGGCTTAGTCGGTTGAGCATCCGACTTTCGCTTAGTTCATGATCTCGCGGTTCGTGGGTTGGAGCCCCGCGTTGGGCTCTGTGCTGACTGCCAGCTAAGAGCCTGGAGCCTATTTCAGAGTCTGTGTCTCCCTCTCTCTCTGACCCTCCCCTGCTCATGCTGTCTCTGTCTCTCTCTCTCCTAGAAATAAATAAAAATATTTTTAAAAAAAAGAAATATAGGGGACAAGGGAACAAGTTAATGGACACCAGGAGGAAGCCAGACAATCCAGAATGTAGCACATTTTACAGAATAAATGAACTGATTTCTCCAACAAATAGTGTGAAACTAAAGGATTATTATAGATAAAAAGAGCATTAAAAAGATATAATAATAAAATACCATGTATTGTCAAAGGGTAATTTTCAAAAAGTTAAAAACAATGGTCCTATACAAATATAAACTGAGCGTGTATCAAAGTTATATTAACACCAGGACCAGTAAAAAAAAAAAACAAAAACAAAAACTATTTCAAAGACATTTCAAAAATCAGAGCACACATGGGCACTGAGCACACGTATTTTATACCTCTATTGAACAATATTCATTGGCATTGCTACTGACCAAAAATCACTTGCATCTATGTCACTTTCCATAAGCTGACACCTGCCTGTAGAGTCCTCCAAATATTCTGACATAGTAAGTCCAACAGGGCTGTCCTAGAGAATTAGATCATTCCTCTGTGGGCCTGTCGGAAAATGCTCCAGTGTTGCTCAGAAAGCATGCACATTTTGCCCATTTCCAAGTTTGGAATTTTTTTCCTTAACAGTATGGCCCTTATTTGCATCTGGATTCAGACAACTCAATTGTAAAAAGACATCTTTGAGAATATCAGGAAGTTTGAATGTGGTATGGGTGCTAAATGCTATTATGAAAATATTAATAATTAGGTAAATACTTTAACTTGGTAAGATTGTGGCATTTTGGTGATGTAAGCAAATGAAATTCCTATCGGTGGTTAGAAGAGCTAACTTTTAGCTTTTTCTTTGAGATAGTCATTTATTCTGGTTCTGATGCAAAGGCATCCTTCGTGTGAAAGATTCAGACAAATGCTTCACATCTCTACCAACGGAAACCTCATATTTTCAAGGACTTTTGTTTGGAGGCCTCTTCGCAAGCACTCTAATATTCTTAAAGCCTTGAGATTCCTGGATGCCACATTTTAACTAAATATATTTATACTGTGCAAAGTCAGTTTTAGAGGGGACCCCTTAGTTCTTCCTGAGTTTAAATCTGGGCTGCTCCAGGAACATACTTACTAGATCTTGTTGCTTGATTAAAGATTCTCATTTCAGGGGTGCCTGGGTGGCTCTTTCAGTTAAACTTCAGACTCTTGATTTCAGCTCAGGTCGTGATCTCAGGGTCTTGAGTTCAAGCCTGGCATTTGGGATCTGTGCTGGGCATTAAACCTACTTAAAAAAAAAAAAAAGATTCTCATTTCAAATGGAAGTAATTATACCATACCCTTTGGCCTAGTCAATACTCACTGTTTCAGAGGCTTTATATGTATTACCTTATTTAATCCTCATAGCAGCTCTGTGAAGTGGGTATAATTACCATCTTTATTTTGCTGAGAAAGAGCCTATGGCACATAGAGTTTGAGCAACACTCCAAAGTCACACCAAAAGTGGCTGAGAGTAGTATTCAAAGCCATGTAGACCAAGCAGAGACTTAACTCCAAAGTCGGACACCTAATCAGCCCCATTTACTGCGCGGGGCTCCATCTGGTGTGAACACCAGACGCGAGAGCGGGAGGAAGGAATTTTGGCTCTGTTCCAAGAAACGCCAGCGGGCAGTGAGTCTGAACACACAGCAGCCAGAGAAGCTAGTACCACCCTATGCTGCTACAAAACCACTTCTAACCACAAAGCCAGGCATTTCCGCTGCTGTAACTCAGACCTGAGGTGTCAGGTGCGGCAAAGGGGAGTGCGTGACCAATACTGCAGCCAAGCAGGGTGACACAGCTTCAGAAAGCCTCCAGGAACGCCCAAGTAGAGATCATTCTTTCCACATACATTTGCTGAGTGACAGGCATGTGCCCAGAAGACAGGTAATGTGTCCACTCTCATGGGATGTATGGGGGGGGGAGGGCGCGGAGGGACACTGACGGGTAAGATGCTTTCCAATGCTGATACATGCATGAAAACGGTGACACAGAATGATACATGGCAGGAATTGACTTACAGGAGGAAGGCCTGTCTAAGATGCCATCTGAGCCGCTGACAAGAAGGGGGTAGCTTTGTGAGGGGCAGGGACAGAGTGTTTCAGGCCAGAGGGGTTGAAGCGCAGGGACCGAGACGGGAGTAGCTCAGGGAGATAAGCAGGGCCTTCCTGCGTCTCGAAGTGGGCAGGGAAGGTTTCAGACAACTGGAAGCAGGAGCAGGGGACCTCTACGGCTACGGAACGGCCGCTGAGTGGGGCAAAGGTCGCCCAGGGACGGGAAGAGAACACATCAGTAGCACGGAGCCCCTGAAGGAGCATTTAGCGCACGCTTTCTTCCGCAACACCCTCTCCCAGAGCAGATGGCAGGAGGGTCCAGGCTGTGCTGAGACCACACCAAGAGCCCAGGCCGGCCCGCGTCCTGTCCAGACGGTGAGGTCCACACCCCTCCGCCCCACAGAGGGGCTTCGAGCGGCACTGCTGCAGAAAAGAAGACTGCCTGGCGTGGGGGTGGGGGCGCACGGGAGGTGTAGAAACAAGGGCGCCGTAGGTCTGAACAGCGCACCACGAGAGGGGCGGGGGTGGGCAGGTGCTCGGATTTAGGACTCTGCAAGCCACCCTCTTACCCGAAGGGCGCCGAGGCACGTTGGCGGCTGGCGCGGAGTCTGGGGTGCAGCCTGGGGTGCCGGAGCGGGGGAGCACGCGCGGGGCGCAGCGGCTGGGACGAGCCAGAGCCTCCGGGGACCCGAATGTCCCTCATCCAGCCACGAGGAGGGAGACGGCCGCCCTGAGCGGGGCCCGGGCACCCGAGCTCTGGGAAGCTCGGTGTTCCCTTCTGTCCAATGGGGACAGTAAGACCTCCCTGTTCAAGAGTATTTTATGTACTGCCCCTCACTCGTCGCAGGCGCTTCGAAAATGTCAGTTAATTTTTGTAAACAACCCCCATTAAGTCTGTGCTTGCTAAGGGCCTTCCGGGTTCGGAAGGCGAATTTAGGCCACGTTAGGGGCGGGGAGGCCTAGACGAGGGCGAGCGCCTGGTGCGCGCCACACCGCCGCAGAGCCCCCTCCGACGCCGCCCCAGCGCAGGGGGAGGCAGGGGCTCCAGCCTCCGGCTCCAGCAAACCCGCCAGCCGAACCTCGGAACGAGTCCAGCCGCCCCGCCGCCGGGAGCGCGCCCGGCGCACCTCGGCTCCGCCCGGACGCAGGCTTTCCCCCGCCCACCCCGGATGAGCCCCCGCTGTCCCGCCCCCGGCAGCGGCCCGCGGATTTGCCCAGTGATCAGTGACGTAGATGAACCGCGGACTCCCATTGGGAGGCGGAGTTTGGCAGCGGCCAATCCGGGCGCTGATCCGAGAAATCTCGGAGCCGCGCCCGGCGGCTCCCGGAGACCTCGCGGCGGAGGCGCGCGGAGATTGCGACCTGGAACCGTCCGCCGCCGAAGAGCAGCGCCCCCGGCCTGGGTCTTGCGGCACGGAGATCGGCGGTGGGGTGAGTTAGGGGAGGGGCGCCTGGGTGCGGGGCCACCGCCCTCCCGGGCCCTCTCGGCGCCGGCAGGTGGCCCGGGGCCCGCGTCGAGACTGCTTCCGTCTGCTGGTCCGCCGGGGGCGGGGGAGGGTTTGGTCGGAATGAACCAGGTTAGGCGCCGGGCTCGGAGCTGCACGTTCACTCCATCCTGCAGCCGGTTCGCGCTGCCCGGTTGACTTCATTCCTCGTTGGTCTCAGAGAACAGGCTGTGTCAGTACATCTTGAGCAAGTGGGGGGCAGGCACTTCCAGATTCCCGGTGCGCCCCGGGTTGTGTCACCGCACGCTCCGCCTGGGCGCCCCTGGTTGTGGCTTCCACAGGCCTTAACCCTTTCCTTTCTCTATTAACATCTTACATTAATGTGGTACATTTGTTACCATTGATGAACCAATACTGAAACCTTTCTGGCCGGAGTCCATAGTTACTCTGAGTGACTGAGTTTTCACCTAAGCACTTGTTCTGTGTCATGATCCCATCCAAGTCACGAGGTGACATTTGGTCAGCGTGGCTCCCTAAGCCCCCTTGGTGTGGCAGTTTCTCAGACTTGACTTGTTTTTGATGATGTAGACAGTTTTGAGGAGTGCTGGTGGCCTGTGTGCTGGGTGGCCCTCCACTGGAATCCCTGTGATGTGTTTCTCCTAAGGCTCCGCGGCAGGTGACTCAGAGGAGAACCACAGGGGCAGGTTATTCATAGTGTCAACACGATATATGACTTGCTGTTGATTGTGACACCCCGAGACAGTGCTGGTCAGGTCCCTCAACTGTAAAGTCACTCTACTTTACCCACGTTTCATACTGAACTCTGAAAATGAGTGACTGTGTGTAGCCACATCCAAGGAGGGGGGGTATGCTCCTCCTCCCTGGGGACAAGTATCTACATATATTATAATTCTACAGGGGAGATTAGTCTCTCATGTCCCCTATTTATTAGTTTATTCAGTCATTTATTTGTATAAGCATGGACTTGTGGATATTTATTTTATACTTTGGGTTATAATCCAGTATTACTTTATTTTGTTGCTCAACTTGTTGCAGCTTTGGTTTTTGGGGGCCGTGTCACGTTGGCTCCTGTGTCCTTCCTAGCATGTGTTCATAGAGCTTCTTGCCGTTGAAAGCATTTTATGTGGCTTCACTTGAACTTCACACAGTGCAGTGAACTTGACAAGACATTATTATTCTCCTCATTAAGAGGTAAGGAAACTGAGGCTCAGAAGCAGTGGATGACTTCTTAGATGTCACTTTCCTGCAAGAGAGTGACCGACTGGTCTCAGACAGGGGCTGACCATCCCAGAAAACCAAGCGAACCACAGAACAAAGTCCATGGTCCAAATTGAGGTTTCTTGGGGTGACTTCAGACTTAGACCCCAGGATCAGAACAGAAAAGATGGAGAATGGAAGATAATGGTTTTGAAAAATAAAGGCTTAATTTGAGTCGCATGCAGGAGGAAGTACAACTTGCCAGATCGGTAGACATGAAGGGTTGACCTTCTCCCCAAGGTGGTATGTGTGGGGGAAAGGCAGGAGGTAATCTGGGAAGTGTTTGTGGTCAGAACATCTCATCTGAGAGGGAAAGGGGGTGTGGACAAGCGTGAGGGAAGCATGAAGAGGGTGGTGCTCCAGAGCTGTAAAACATTGTTTCACTACTGTTGACAGACCTCCTGCCTTGTGCCCAGTGCTGGAGCTGAGAGGGTCACTGAGGAGTGGTCCTTGGGCAGAGCCGTTCAGCTCTGAGCTCAGGGAGGGTCTCATGAGGGGCTGGCCTGTGTCAAGCCCTCAGGGATGAGCTGGAGCAGAGACAAGAGCGGGTACAAGGACTAGGGGTAGGGAGTAGGCACCCTGAGGACAGCTGTGTTTCTGGCTTGGAGCAGTGGGACCAGCTTGCAGGAGGCTTTGTGGTATGGGAGAGCCCCAGGTGGAGAGCTGTTAGGACGGCCCTGGTGGCCCTTTGTAGGAGATCTGCTACGTTCCACCAAATCGGTGATGCTGTCAGTTTAGGTATGTCCGACACAGAACACACATCCTGCCAGCTGAATCAGGATGTGCTGCTGATCACACTTGAGAGACTGATATGTGGTGACATGGGCATCTTAAATTTGATAGAAAGTTGTAAGTCACTCACCGCTTGCTTAGATTCCTCCGTCATCTGGGAAATGAATGGTCAGAATATCTCCATCTCACTAACCTGTAAACTGGCTCTTTCCTGCTTGATAGCCAAATTGTGGAAAACCAGCACAGGGGATGCCTGGCCTCCAGCTTTCATTTGTGTTTATTCTGCTTTGCTTGCTCTTGTTAACAGCCATGACCTTGTGTGGCACATTAAATATGCTGCTGAGCTCACCAGACATCTGTTTCAGTTTGCCCTGTAAGCGGCCTAGATGTCCACCCCCTCCCCATGTCTTCCTGGTAATACCGAGCTGTGCAGAGGTCAAGAATATAGCCCCAAGCTGCTGCATAGCTGAGTGATTGCACCTGGGTGGAAATCTGGGTTTGCATGCTAACCCAGGAGTCTTCACCGTCAGCTTTGGTTAGAATGACAGCCAGGGATGGAAGAAGGTTCTGATGGTATTTCCTCACACACAGTGTCCAGGGGCCATGGGAGGGGGCCATGATGGCCCAGAGCAAGCTGGAGACCTGGCTGTCCCGACAGGTTGTATTCCACTGGTGAGGCCAGAGAGGGAACTGCTGCTTGTTGTCTACCCTTCTCTAGATAAATAGGCTGACTTTTTTTCTTTTTTTGCACAAATGCTTTTATATATTTCAGCTTAGTAACCTTCAACAACTTCCTGTGCTATATCAGTCAGGATTCTTTTATTTTATTTTTTATTTTTTTTCAAATGACATACAGGTCCAAGCTGGCTGGGTATAAAGGGCATTTATTGCCTCATGTGATGGCAGAATTCAAGGGTCAATCTAGCTTCAAGGACAGCTTGATACAGGGTTTTACAAGATGTCATCAGGATCCACTTTCTTGTACTTCATCTCTCAGGCTTAGCAAAATTGCTCATGTAGCCCCAAACCATATGACCTCACCTCTTGCAAGTTCTCGAGAAACCACAGAATCATTTCCCCATCTCAACTAGGTCTCCCTGTGACTATCAGTACTTGAGTCATGTTCTCACCTCTGAAGCAGGCACCGTGGGCAAGGAGGCATCACATGCACTCTCTTGCTCCACCCTTGAGCTGAGGGGGAACTCTCCCCTAAGTACATGACCCCCAGAAGGGAACACTGGAAATGTTAGCAAAGCAAGGAAGAATGGAAGCTGGGTGGACTACTCGCCCAAAGACCAAGCCCTTACAGCACTTACTGCTGGGACCAGAGAGCACAGAGCTGTCGTCTGCAGTCATTTGCTGCTGTGGGATTCCTCAGCCTGGTGCTTGGCCTCGCTCATGCTGCTTCCCTTTCGTTCCACCTTGCTTCCTTTCTCTTTCTTTCAGCATCACACACATATATGCACACACTTCCTGTTTCCCTTCCTCCAGACTGGCAACAGTTTAGAAGCTGATAGTACAGGTGTTGACAGGGCCATGGAGCAGCATGGATGCCTGTAGCCTGCTGGTGGCAGCGTATACTGGTACAGTCACTGAGGACACAGTGTGGCCTGATCTGCTTAAAGATGTGTTTGCTTGCTTGTGTACCAGGACACACATGCAGAAATGTTCACAGAACCATGTCCCAAGTGGGAAACAGTCCAGGTCGCCATCAGTAGCAGACTACACACATACCTGTGTTCTTTGCAGATACTGCATTCTTACAAATGCAAAGTTTGTGGTAAGCCCACATCAAGCAAGTCTCTCGGTGCCATATCCCACCAGCCTTTTCTTGCTTTGTATGTCAGTGTCATATTTTGGTAATCCTCACAGTATTTCAAACCTTTATGTTATTATTATAGTTGTTATGGTGATCTGTGACCAGTGAGGACAATTCTCTGAAAGCTCAAACGATGGTTAGCGGTTTTTACTAAAATGGTTTTTTTTTGTTTTTTTTGTTTTTGTTTTATTTATTTCTTTTTTTTATTTAAAAAAAATTTTTTTTATGTTTTATTTATTTCTAGGAGAGAGAGAGAGACAGCATGAGCAGGGGAGGGTCAGAGAGAGAGGGAGTCACAGACTGAAACAGGCTCCAGGCTCTGAGCTGGCAGTCAGCACAGAGCCCAACGCGGGGCTCGAACCCACGAACTGCGAGATCATGACCTAAGCGAAAGTCGGACGCTTAACCAACTAAGCCACCCAGGCGCCCCCTAAAATGGTATTTTTAATTAAGGAACATACATTGTTGTTGTTTTTTTTTTAATTTTTTAAATTTTTTTTATTTATTTCTGAGAGAGAGAGAGAGAGATAGCGTGAGCAGGGGAGGGTCAGAGAGAGAGGGAGACACAGAATCTGAAGCAGGCTCCAGGCTCTGAGCTAGCTGTCAGCACAGAGCCCGATGCGGGGCTCGAACCCACGAACCACAAGATCACGACCTGAGCTGAAGTCGGACGCTTAACCGACTGAGCCACCCAGGCGGCCCAGGAACATACATTGTTTTTTAGACATAATGTGACTGCACACTTCATAACAGTATAGTATAAACACAACTTTTGTATGCACCGGAGAACAAAATGATTGCTTTGACTTGCTTTATTGTGATCTTCACTTTATTGTGGGGGTCTACGACTGAACCCCCAAATCTCCAAAGTGTGTCTGTATGTCAGAGTAAAGTCAAAAAGCAATGAAAATGAATGAAGTCAGCTCACAGTCACATGAATACACCTTACAAACATGATGTTGACACCCACGTCAGCAAGAAAACGTTCCGGCTGTAAGACAAGAGGGGGAGTGACTGTCACTGCTGTCACATATGCCACGGCACCCGTCTCCCCAGACATGGATTTCCCTCCTCCCCCAGTGTTTGCACCCCTGCAGCCAGACCCTGCACCAGGACAAGTGTGGTGATGTGCTGCCTCTGCTCATGCTGCGGACAGA